ACCGGTCCCCAAGCTCCGCTCCCGGCAAGGCCACCTTAACTCGGAAAGTCAACCGTGAACTTGCTTCCGGGGGCTCCCGGTTTTCAGCTCTGTTAAAGTCCACCAAGCAGCAGCAGCAGCAGTTCTCGGCACGGCACGCGGAGACGCTGCCAAAAATCGCAAGGATCCGCGGTTGTTTTGCTCTGGCTTTCCACCCGGCTCCACCGTTTCCTTTTCCCCGGGAGTGCGCCTCCCTACCCCCACTCTAGGTCTACTGGCCACTTGATCTTTGCTCCTCTGAGGTCCAGTTTCAGTGTAAACTTCCCCTTGCCCATCCAACCGGACTGATTTAGAATTTTAGGCCCGAACCGGGCCCCATTCTCCCTGTCCTTACAGACAGCTCCAGTCCTGGCAGGGCGCCGACTGGCCCTCCTCTTTCCCGGGGGAAAGGTGGGCAGCACCCAGCCTCCGACCCAGAAAAGCAGGATGACCCATTGCCACCCTTCCCCTACCTCCCCCGCGGCACCCAGAAAACAAATTCTCAGCCCCGGGTCAGGTTTCAAATGGACCCCACCTCGGATCGGCTCTTGAGGCTGCTCCGCTTAGGTCGGAGCAGGACATCCTTGAAGTCGAGCTTGAGGTCCGCATCTATGCGAGGCATGGTGCCGGCGCGGCAAGGCGGCCGGCTCCTTCCTGCGGCGGAGGTGGCGACAGTGCCACGGCCTGCGAGGGCCAAGGGTGGCGCGGGGCGCGTGCGTGGCACGGTCGCCGGGGCTGCTGTGCCGCGGCCCGGGCTCCCGCGGGCCCGCGCGCAAGCCGGCTCTCCAGCGCGCCCGCCCCGCGCTCCCGGCCGCGCTGGTTCGCCCCGCCCCGCGCCCGGTGGCCACGCCCCCGGAGCCAGGAGGCGGGTGGAGAGGCCAGGGGGCCGCGGACGTCTCCCACTTCCCCGGGCGTACAGTCCTGCTCATTGCTACCACGAAATTGTGCACCTGTGCACCATCTAGGCTATTACCGAGGATCCCCTTGGAGAGGAGACCTGGCGCATTACCGCCTTATTGAAGGGTAAAGGCCGATCCTTGAGAGGTTTGACTTCTCATTTCTCCAATTTCAAGTCCAGCGTTCGCCAAGCGCTGGCCTCTCACATGCCAAAGAGGGAGAGACCCTTGGGAGCGTGGACGGAAACACAGGAAACCAGGCCGGGCCCGTGCGAGCCTGAGGTCCAGGGTTCCATCACTGTGGAGTGGGGTCAGATATCAGTTTAACAGCGCTGGGTGGTTTGGGCCATTTTTGGATACCTTTTAGATTTCAGGGGGCTTTTGCTGATTTTTATTTAAAACAACAACAGCGAGGTCTATAATCAGCGCAGATCCTGGGATTTGAGGGACCTGAATCCTCTCCAGGGTTACCAGTGACTCGAGTTCATTTTTAGTCACTTGTTGAGCTTACTGAACCTCTGCTGTAGCTTGGAATGCGCTTAAGGACTTTGCCTGCACCTGCTCATCCACCCTCAAAACAGCCCATCCACCGGAGCTATTTTGCAGATAAGGAAACAGTGAAGTTCATGCAAATGAAATACCTTGTCCAAAGCCCCAGAAAAGTTAAATCTAAGTCTGTCTGTCCTGGAAACTTAGGTCAACCTTTTGCCACAACTGCTTTTTAACCCTGGGGACCTCTTTTCTGTGTGGATGGAAAACCCGGTTCCACCACTTTCTAGCTGGGTAACCTTGAGGGAGTTATTTTCTCTGGCTCATTGTCTCATAGGTTAAAGAAAAACTTAAAGCTACCCTCTCCCAGGTTTTTTTTGTGAGAATTAAATTGTGTGTGTGTGTGTGTGTGTGTGTGTATGCAGAATGTATGTTCCATTGTAGTTGTTCAATAATAATGGTAATTATTTGGGGTCACATGTTACCTCATGTGCATTGTGTTTTAGGATCTCAGACTACATTGCTAACTGCACAAAGCCAGGAATCACTTTCCTTTTCTTTCCCTTCTCAAAAGGCTCTAACTGTTCTCAATGAACCCTGTGGCTGACCATAAAGACTTAGCACAATGTTCATTTTAACACAAAGGACTGCCAGTGACAAAAGTCTTCAGCCATTCCACTTGATGACATGATTATCTTTGCCTCACAGGAATTTTGAAAATTTTCATGGAAGGAAGTGAAAGTTATCAGAGAGCGGGAAGATAACCACAATTAGTCCAGCCAACAAATTATTTATGACCCACCCTTATCACATCGTTGAAAGCTGGCCAGATGTGACACTTATAAATAGTGGGGATCTCAGTTCCTTAATTAAAGACTAAATAAAAGTCAAATATCACCATGTCATATAGTAACATAATTACTATATGACATGGTAATTATTCTTCAAAAAGGGAAGAGAAACCAAGCTTATTAAGCATCAGCTTAGAGTGAAGAAGTGCAGAGGTGGTGGAGGGCTTTATCCTCAAGGGCACACACACACTACCTTACGGGAAGAGCCTCCTTAGCTAGCCTGACCTCATCTCCAGGTAGTATCTCTTCTCTTGGTTTACTGCCCACCCCTCCTCTATTGGAAGAGACAGAAGTTCAGTTTACACACTCCATTCCCCCTCCTATTGAAATATTCCATCATAACTATATCTTCAGACGCAAAGTCATGTTCCTTGGTGAATCACTAGGAGTCCCTGATTCTCTCACACCAACAGAGACTCTACTATCCTGTGATCTGTGCCCCAAAGGCCCATGTGTTGAAGGCTTGGCACTGATAGGAGCAGGTGGAGCCTTAAGGAGGAGGAGCCTAGTGGCAGGAAGTTGTATCATAGGGAGCATGTCCTTGGAGGTCCCACCCCTTCCTCCTTGTTTCCTAACTACCATGAGGTGGGCATCTACTTCTGCCAGGTGCTCCATGATGTACAACCTCCACCAGAAGCCCAAAGGCAATGGGGCCAAACAACCATCGACTGAAACCTCTGAGTCTGTGAACTAAAACAAACCTTTCCTCCTTATACATTGATTACCCCAGGTATTTTGTTACAGCGATGGGAAGCTGACTAACAGAATCCTTTAGGCAGCCTTTACACTGTGTACAGATTTCAGCTCCTCATCTCACAAATAATAACAGTGATAATTTATATCGAAACAATGATTTTACGAAGAAATTTTGACTAGACGAAGCCATAAGATATATCCAGAATCCAACCTGAGAACATTATCTTTTTTTTTTTTTCTGAGAACATTATCTTAACTAAGGGTAGGGTGATTCCAAAAATTACATGAGAAGATAACCTCTAAAATGATGTGGGATAAATTCCACATGGTGACTGTTCTTTTATATATCCATGGATTCAGTTTGCTAATATTTTGTTAAGGATCTTTACATCTAAACACATGGGGTACATGAGTCTGTAGTTCTTATGTTTTTAGCAGGATTATGATGGCCTCATAAAATGAATTTGGAGTGGGGCGTGGTGGGGCACACCTGTAACACCAGCCACTCAGGGGCGGAGGCATGAGGGTCACAAGATTGAGGCCAGCCTGAGCAACTTGGCAAGGCCCAAAAGACTTAGTGAGATCGTGTCTCAAATAAAAAGTAAAAAGGGGTGGGTGAAGGGGAAGTGAGAAATGAAAGATGGAGACCAGGCAGAGACACCCACGGGAGTTTATTTTTTCAGAGCTGACAAATAAAGGCCGTCTCTCTAGAGGAGAGAGAGGCAACACAGGCTTGAGTTCTGGGACTTTTATGGGGCAGCTCAGGAATCAGAGCCTGGCAGGTCCTAATGTGGGCAGTTAGGGGATGGGTTGGTAGGAGGGAGTGGTGAGCCTTTCTCAGAAAGGCCTTTGGGTGGGAAAGTGAAACTTTTTCCTTAAAATGGCCATCCAGATGCTAAGCCCCACCTTATAGTAGGGGATGTGACTCAGTGGTTAAGAGCACCTATGTTCAAACCCTTGTACTAAAAAATATAAGAATTGGGGAATGTTTCTTGATCTATTTTCTCAAAGAGCTTGTAAAGGATTGGGATTCATTCTTTAAGTATTTCATAGGATTAATCAGTGATCTATAACTATGAAGGATAAGAAAATTGTTTTTTGATAGACAAATGTCTCAAAACCCTAAAATAATTATAATTGAATAGTAATTGAAATCCTTAAAATGATTCAAAGTCACAGTATTTAGTATAATGGGAATAAGAAAGATTTTGCTCATATTTAATGTTTTGTGGTGTTTTGCATTCTTGAGAAAATTTGTCCCATTAGATTAAGAAAACAATCTTTTAATACCTATTCAAAATGAGCTTTTGGGTACACCTGTCATCCTATTAACAGGGGTTCGCTTGATGCTTTGACTATATTCCTTGTGGCTTTGAAACTTACATATTTTTTTCCTTTTTCCCAATCTTCTTTTCCCTAAATTTCTCCCTGATCTTCTCTCCCTCCCTGATCTTTTCCTTGATCTTCTCCTTCCCGATCTCTCCTCCCTAACCTCATTTCTCTGAATCGCCTCTATAAAACCCCCCTGTTCGTGCTGATGGACAGAATCACAGCCTTTGGGACAGGGGTCCCCTGGGTTTCCCCTTTGCTAACAAAGCAATAAACTTTTTTTCTCAAGACTTTGTCTTTGTTATTGGATTGATCCCAAGGACCAAGCTTTGGATTATAATCCCAGCAGCTCTAGAAGCTGAGGCAGGAGGATCACAAGTTTAAGGTCAACCTCAGCCATTTAGCCTGGCCCTGTCTCAAAATAATTTAAAAAAAAAAAAAAGGTCAGGGGATATGGCTCAGTGATGAAGCACCCCTGGGTTCAGTCTCCAGTGATAAAAAATGTTTGAGTGAGTGAGTTGAACATGAGGATAAGGTGAAATGTATTCAGGAACATCTTAAGAGAACATAAATTTCACTTAAAGTATTTATAAAAGCAAATAAATTATGCTGGAAAGTTCCCCTAGCTGGTGAGTCTGCTGTTTTGTCATGCATGATGATTGCTGGGAATCTGATGAAAACGCAAATGCTCCTTCAGAGGTGCTGGGTGGGGCCCAAGGCTTTTCATTTCTGACAAGTGTCTGGACGAAGCTGGTTCTGGGGACTGGCACTGAGGAACAGGGAGTTAGACTATTAGCATATTTCAAAAGGAAATCTTGTTCCTTGTATTTTTTTTTCAAAGCAGCTTAAAATACTTGAAAGTATTTAAGTTTGTAAATGTGACCTTGTGTTATCCAAAAGCCTTTTCAAGGCGTTTGCTACAATTTACTAAATAGAATTTTTAAGTAAAAAAAATTTCTAAGTGAATAGACAAGTTGTTTTTTAAAAAAAAACTTTTTAATTTGTTATATATGACAGCAGAATGCATTACAATCCATATTCACATGTAGAGCACAATTTTTCATGTCTCTGGTTGTACACAAAGTAGAGTCACACCATTGATGTCTTCCTACATGTACTCAGGGTAATGATGTCCATCTCATTCCACCATCTTTCCTACCCCCTGCCCCCTCCCATCTCCTCCCTCCCGTTTGCCCTAACAAGAGCTCATCTAATCCTCCCATGCCCCCCCACCACCACATTACAAATCAGCATCCTTAAATCAGAGAAAACATTTGGCATTTGCCTTTTTGCGGGGGACTGGCTTACTTCACTTAGCATTATATTCTCTAAATCCATTCCTTTACCGGCAAATGCCATGATTTTATTCTCTTTTAATACTGAATAATATTCCATTGTATCTATATACCACAGTTTCTTTATGTACTGAAGAGCATCTAAGTTGGTTCCACTATAAGGTCCTTGCTTAGCATCTGGATGGC